ATGCCTCTCCCTGTTAGGGCAAAAAATGCCCCATAGCGATATTGCCCCAGTTGGACTGTTTCTATGCCCCTCCTGCATTTATGCGCCATACAACATTGGCCACATTGTTACACCTCAGCAAGTGCGCAAAAATGGCGTCACCCTTGTGCATTTCGCTGCTGGAAAATTATGTCGCCGGGCGTAAAAACTGTTTCTATCTTTTTTCCTCGAAGCAGTCGACTGGTAAAGGGAACAATGCCTATCCGATCTGCTCATTTCAGCACTGCTTTTTTTAAGGTGCAAGATGGAAGTCCTGTGAGCGGTGTGATCAGCGTGCATGCTATCACTTTGGTTGAATTCCTGACGTCGCCACTTCTCACCCTTGACATGGAAAAAGAAGCGTAAACGCAGCCGCGCTTGAGCCGCAAAAGAACGAACCAACTGAACAATACATTAGGTGATGCGGGGGGAGGACCCCCATCCCCATTTTTGCATCAAAAATAGAAGCAGTGATATATAGTGGAGAGTTCCTAGTTTGGCCATATGTTTTTCTTTCCAGTGTCCACGGGGCTGCGCATGTATGGGTATAATAGGGGAAAAACAACGCAGCTAGCTTTTTTCCCCAAACGTTAGCAGGCGTAAAACCGCTAAAAGGCAGTCATCACCCACAAATTTTATGGACGATTAACAGGCATATTAGATACACACAGTGGATGCCTTTACTTTCTGCACGACTTCTTTCCATTATAATCTTATAATTCTGTTCGTCCCTCTACCACTGGTCGTGATAAGAGGGTGGGACAACATAATGACATGCACGTAACGTCCCTAATTTTTCCGCATCTGCTTCATTAAATTTTCTAAGCTTATTTTTACACATTGGATAAAACGAGCTTTACAAAAAAGTGGTAGGTAAGTTCTCTACCTCGTTCACCAAAATGGAAGTACATACATTTTTCACGCACCCGAAAATGCCAGAACCACAGGTTACCTGCGGCATACAGAAAAATTAACACACATTTCCGCTTAACATTTGCTAATACTGCAAAAAATGGAGAAGCCAAAATTACTTCTCTTCACACTCCAGCGGATTTATTCATATGCAACGTACGAAACTGTAAATGGCTAACCCCAGCAAGAGTCGACTTTACACTAATTTTATGCGCCATGACGGGGAATCATAATGAAATTCCCCCACTGACACATGGGCTGAAAGGGGGTATACCCCTCAATGGGGGGCAACGTTCAACAATACGTACTGCACAGCAGTGACTGAAAACGTCTTATCGTTCAAATTTGCAAAAAGTGGACGAGAAACCAGAATAGGCTAAAAATGTGCCATAAAAAACTGTCACATTTTTTCACGCTAATGTGGACAGTGATACACACGAACACTTGATGCTCACATGTGACACTACCCCGTTGTTCGCTCTTAAATTTCATTTTATTGTAGTTCCTCTGCTACCGAGGAAGCCCCACCGTAAGCGAAAAAAAAACTGACACTTCGTACGTCATGCAAAAGGCGACACAACGTATTACTTCATCTTCTGATCTTACCCATTTGAAACATTTCAAAATAAAGAGTGACAATCGAAAGCGTTGCCGTTGTTGGATGCGTTATCATTGTGCAAAGGCATCTCTGACAAGAGAGCCAAGTGGTGAAATAAACACGGGGTTCACCTCTTTGTGCACAAGATGCCATATGTACACACCATCCCATGTGAAATGTTTTTATTTTTTCTCATCATATGTTTATACATGTACCATGAGGACAAATTACAAATTACTTGCTCCGGTGTTGCGCCATATTCCGGCATCTTTGTTCTAAATGGTTCTTTTTTAAAAAAGGGAAAAATAATACAAATAAAAATGAAATGACAAGAAATGGCATGCTCTTTTGTCATGATTCCTTTATTCGGACTATTTACTACTTTTCCCCTTTAGCGATAAATGTGCACTGAATTATGTACATAAATACATACATGCACAAATATTACCTTGCATAGCTTTTGTGCATTTTTTAAAAAAGGTTAAAAAAACTCCTGTGTTAGAACCTCTTACACGCAATTTTGCACATACGCAAAAAGAGAAAAAAATAAAAATCAAAACAGAAGAAAAGTGCGTACGATTATTATGTGAAGCCTATGTAAGAGCTTTAAAAAAGTTGCTAACAAAGCGCCAAATAATCATAAAAATAACACACGCGAGGATATCGCAGGTGAATTAAATAAGGGATATAATCATAATAGTTTAAATATTATACACTGCGACGGAGAGGTGCGCAAGTGTACATGTGTTTGCGAATAATTCTACATTTCTTTTTTTTCCTTACTGGGAGTGTATGCATTATATTTACATACCCTGATTATATATCCATTTAGTGCATCCTTAGATGGAGGGGTGTACCCCCTTGCATTTTTTTACATAGCGTTTCAAATAGAGGCATTACAAAAGGGTTCATTCATACGCAGTGTTTATATAGATAAACGTATCCTCGCACATATGAACACATACAAAATGTATGCATATATATATATTTTTTCTGTAATTATGTATCACTCCTCATTTCTTCCTCTTCTTAACTATATACATGCGTATGCAATCAGCACGTGCTTGTTTTGAAACAAACACTTTTTCATTTTTTCACCTCTGCACAGCTGTTATTTTTGCTGAATTGTAATGGCGACGCCAGTTAACATTATATATATGCAAGAAAACAAAACACCCCCCCCCCTCCTTCCTTTTTAAAAAAAAAAAGAAAGAAAAAAAACAGTACCCATTTTACATATGCTTTATGCCCAGCACTTGTGTACATCACAACAATTTTGCCAATAAATTTTAAAATAAAAAAACATTCTATTTCACCATTTTTAGCCCAATTAATTATATACGATTGTACATTCTCAAATATGTACATATATAGTTATATAATATATACGTATATATCCATACATATTTCTTATAGTTCCCAAGTTTAAACGCATGAAAATTCATTTACTTGTTTTGGTACATTTTTTACACCGTGTTTTCTTCCTTTTTACGTTTTTCTTCCTTTCATTTCTTTAACTCGTTCCTCATTTATAGAGCCATTATTATTGTATAGTTATTTTCAACCTCCAGTTAAGAAAATATACGTTGAATACTCCTATGCGCATGTACATACGACTCGTACACATTCTTATATATTAATATAAGCGCCTATTATCCTGGCATTTACGCGTACGTTCAAAATACATATGTGAGTAGCTTTTCCTTCTTTCTCGCATTTGCGCGTATGCCATACATACAATCGTATGTACTGTACTTGTTTGCTTAAACCCAAGGGAAGCAAGCAGTTCAATTTGTGTGCCCTTAAATGTATAAGGCTATACGGCGTAGCCTTTCAAGGGTTAAAAGCCAAAGGTGCGGAGTAAAGCAGCAGGGAGAACCAGCAAAAACCAGTAAACGAGCAATCCCCCAGGGATATGCCAAAGGGAGGCACAGCAAAATAAACCCAAGCCACAAGGAGGAAGTGCCAGATGAACGAAACAAAATCATAGTACATACGCAAGCGCCAATGCTAAGCTCCAAAAAAATATTCGAAAAAATAAATCATTCAAGCAAAGAAAAAAACAAACCAGTTTAACTTATAGGTATTCATTTGCCCTTCCCCCACAAAAAAAAGGCTTTGCTTTTGTTAGTGATAAATATGTACATAAATTTACATACATAATATGTATAATATATATATACATGATAATACATATTAATCATTTAATGCGTATCAATATATATGTATATGCTCAATTCATACATTTAATTACGAACCGCGTGAATATATATACACGCAATTTTTTGCAAAAATATGCACTTGACGTAGATATTGAGGATAAAGCAGCAACATTATGAGCCAACTTTCCCTGCGTACTTTTGTTTCCCATAAAAAAACATAAACCTGCTACGTACTTTTTCCCTTTTTGCGTTTTTTCCATTTTTTCTTTTTTTTCCCTTTTTGCGTTTTTTCCATTTTTTCTTTTTTTTCCCTTTTTGCGTTTTTTCCATTTTTTCTTTTTTTTCCCTTTTTGCGTTTTTTCCATTTTTTCTTTTTTTTCCCTTTTTGCGTTTTTTCCATTTTTTCTTTTTTTTCCCTTTTTGCGTTTTTTCCATTTTTTCTTTTTTTTCCCTTTTTGCGTTTTTTCCATTTTTTCTTTTTTTTCCCTTTTTGCGTTTTTTCCATTTTTTCTTTTTTTCCCTTTTTGCGTTTTTTCCATTTTTTCTTGTTTTTCATGTTTTCATCATCCCCATTTTATGCATTTTTACATGTTTTTCCCCTTATCCACGTTTCCAACATTATTTTCATATTTTTCCAATTCATTTCTTCTTTTCCCCTCTTTTTCTTTTCCATTTTTTCCTTTTTTTTTTTACAATTTTTTCCTTTTTTCCCCTTCCTTTCCATTCCCCCACTTTTACTACATATTTACTTTATACTTTTTGTGTACAACTCACGCGCGCCTACAAACACCCGCTGCGTATGTATACTTTATGAGCATTTCTTTTTTTATATCCATGTGCGCATAGCCACAGACCTGCTTTTTTCATTCAAGGCCCCCTGTACAACATCCATACGTACCTTTTTATTTACCTTCTTTAAAGTTTCCATGTGGCTTAGTTTATTGCAAAGTTCGTCTCAAATTTTTTCTCTTTTTAGCGATCTTTGTATTCTTTTTTTTTTTTTTATTATTACTTCGTCTGTGAGCCTGCAAAGTAGAGTTATGCAAAAGGTCATATATCCATGCGTATATGTTTCTTTGCATAGTATACATATGTGCCCATGGGACTATCTACGCAAGCACACATTCACACGCGCACTCTATATTGAACTAAGTGAGCAGTGAAAATTGTCCCCTTGTGACGGACATAAGCGAGTAGAAGCAGCTAGAGGCAATCGTTCCCTTGCCGCTCATTGCTACGTGTTCCAGCGCGTCCAGGAACCACCCTCGAAGAAACACATTTTGGAGCAGTTCCCACCAACCCCATATGACATGATTTTAAGAAGGCTACAAAAGCCGTTAGCACCCTGCCGATACATGTGCATTTTTTCCCTAATTAACCTGCTCAAATCAGCATCGATTACCCTGACAAAACCCACGTACGCGTACATTCACAACTACAATCATATCATATCACAGATCCCCCAAAAAACAAATAAACTAATTTTAAGAAATTGTTCGAACAAGAAAAATTATAATGCTTTTGTATGCAAATCTTATAAGAAATATAAAATGAATAAAAAATTTTCCAGTTCCATAAATATGAATAAGAGTAACGAAAATGAAAATGCTTTAAAAGATAATAATAACGTCACTGCAGTTAATAAAAACAGCAGTGATGTTAAGAGTTTTGGAAACTTTAACCACAGCAGCAGGAGTTCTGCCTTCGGCAAACGATATAGCCATGGCATTAAGAGCAAAAGTAAGGTATCTTCCGGCAGTTACGTTGGTGGACGTATTGATGGTAGTGGGGTAGGAGGTGATGGAGGCTTCGGAGGAGGAGGAAGTAAGTACACAAGTAGTCACTCCTATTCGAGGAATCACCCAACTCACCATCCACACCAGATCAACAGAGAAACGGGGAGCAAAAATGAAGAAGCCAGTTACTCTCTAAACGAAACGAAGTTAAATACAAATGCGAATTATGTGAATTCGAACATGAAGGAAAACAAAGGAGGAGGATACACCCTGAACAGTAATGAGCCAAACATACCACCTGTCAACGAGACCAGTAAAATCATTCAGCACAACACCAAAACGAATAGTTTCAATAAGGATAATATGTTGCGCAAAGGCACAAAGGACGAAAGTGTGTACGGCCACAGTGGCTTAGGGCCCAACAGCAGTGCCAACAATGTGATAGGCAGCATGGATAATGCCAAAAACGGCATTAATAACAACAGTGGAAACACATCGGGCGGTATTTATCAAGAGAATAATCAGGTGAAAACCACGAGCTACAAAAATACAAAAAACGGCACAAGTGGAAGCGGAAATAACAGAAACAACAGCATGAGGGAGAAAAAAACAAACATGGAAGGCATAAACAATACGAACTTAAAGGACAACGAACGATTTAGCCATCTGAACGAGAGCCGTGTCAGCGCCACAAAGTACAATACGAAGAATTCCTTTAGCTCAAATAAGAAAAATATGTCTACCTATAATGCCAATTTGAGCAACGCGAACAATGGCAACCTTAAAAACGGTGATGAGAATGTTTGTTATGCACAGAACAGTTTCAAGAGAGAAACATCGGATAATAATATGTTGAATAGTAATGTCAACGTAGCAGAGTTAAATAAAAACGTTGGGGTACCCGTTGATCCCAATATGAACAGCATTGACATGAGCAACAAACTGAGCGCTAAGGATTCTTACGGAAAAGCAGAAGGTGTCAACAATGATGCAAACGTCGGCGCGAATACCGGAATCAGCAACCGAACTGGTAACTCGCGGGGCGCCAATGGTCGAAGCGGTAATGGGCGCAGCGGCAACGGTCGGAGTTCAAAAGGTCATAGAGGGGGCCGCAGAAGAAACAACCACTCGGGTGGAAACAATACAAGCGCTAATATTACAGGTGAAAACAACGCAAATGTGAATAACGTTGGCATAAATAATCCTAGCGCAAGTACTCCGAGCGGGAACAGCGGCATCGGTCGAAGCGGCAAGCGGGGCAGCAGACGAGGCGGCAACAGGAACAGGAGAAGCAGCAACAACAACTCAGGCGCGTTCAAGTCCCTCAGCATGATGAAAAGCAAGGACGAAAAAATGAATGAAAATTTTGACAGTGCAATGCAGGAAAATGAATACATGCAGGAGAATACAAATAATTTAAGGGGCATGCCGGAAAATCAACCCGCGCACGGCGACAGGACCAGAAATAACAAGATGATGTCTTATGGCTCTAACACTCCCATGAGCGGAGGACGAATGAGCAACGTCGGCATAAATGGTGTGCAAAACGTACAAAATATGCCGAGTATGCACAGCACAAAGAGCCTCGAGCACGGAATGAAAAGCTCAAGAGAAAATGAAAATGCGATCCCCGGGGCAATGATGAAGAACGCCAGAAATATGTCCTATGACAACAAAGGGAACAGCTACATGAATGATGCGAATCAGGCGAACGTATACGAGCTAAAGAAGAGCGAGTCCTACGTGAATTACTCCTCTTCATCCAACAGCTTGAAAACGATGAGCCAAATGAATACTATGAACAGCATGCACAACATGAGCAGCATGAATAGCGTCAACAGCGCGAGCAGTATTAGCGGCACAAACCAGATAAGCGGTGTAAACAACCTTATGGACGACCACTGCAGCGCAAGCAAGCAAAGCTGCAACATGAGCAGCGGATCGACGCCCTTCCCAAACATGGACGCAGATGCATTTCTCTTTCACGACTTTAATGAATTCGTGACATACATGTATAAGGATGAAAACATTTTAACTCTTTTCTACATAAGAAAGAATTACCTGAAAGCAGAGTCGCGCGAAGAATTTGCAACCGAAAATGACAAAATAAAATGTTCAATCATATGGTCTTTTCCTAATGATGAAAAAATTACTGTTACCGGGACTCATAGCACAAAGAAGTTAAGCAAAAAGGTATGCGTGAAAAAAATGTTACAAAAGTTAAAAAACATCTCAGTCTTAGAGATAGACCAAATGACCAAGTGGATGATCAACAGCTTAAATGTGGTTCTCAAAGTGGAGCATAAAAACATGGAAACACAAATGAACAATAATAACATGTATTGCACCAGCATAGAATGGAAAATCAACAATAAAATGTATCACTCCATGGGGATACATGAGCATGAGAAGATTGCAGAAATTATCGCAACACAGAACTTGTACATGATTTTGTATGACATCAAGGATCAATTGGTTAAAGAAATGGAGAGTGGCAAAGTGACTAACCAACACGGTGCCTCAAGTGCCATGAATAGCGGAAAGGCGTATGAAAATAGCCTATTTGACAAAATGATGAATAACAGCAATAACAAAGGCTACGACGATCATTGTGCCAATAAAATGGGAGGCAAGTACGAATACGGAAAAGGACAAATGATGCAGAACAAAAATATGATGGATCCTGCAGCTCTTTACAAAAATGGGAACCCCCCGAATAATGATTTCAATGCACAAGGCATGAATAATTGCAACACGTATTATAATCCGAATGATGGGATGATGCACCCACAGTGTGCTGACAATCCAATGATGCACTCCCTGCAAGGTGGCTCTGCCATGAGCAGTGCGGGCAATATGAACCCCTGTGCCAGAGGTGCAAACAGCATGGATCTAGCGAATGCAGGCCAAATTGCAGGAAACAACAATGTAAACATGAACCTTATGAACTACCCAAATGCAAACAACATGGGCATGCCCATTATGAACGATAAAAATATTGGACAAGGCGTAGGAGCAGACCATATGAACGGGCTGAATAATAACCCCGGAATGGTACCTCCAGCACCAGTGATAACGGACCCAACGGAACTTATCGCCTACAATTTAACGAAACAGGACTCGGGGAGCATCCAAATGCTAAGAAACAATATTGCCTCAAGGTACAAAGTGCACCAAACGGAGAACTTCGAGCAGGTATATAATTTGTTCAAGTGCACACTCGAGTGGGAATGGAAAAATGGAAAGATAGCCTGCAAAACAAAAAGTGTGGGTTATGGTACCACCAAGAATTTGGCCAAGTGCGAAGCAGCCTACGACATGCTAGTGAAAAATAACCTCATAGAGTACATATCCTCCACGGATAGGAAAAACGCGCATTATATAAAAGATTTAATACAAAAGGATGTAAACAAAGCCATGAAACTAGCAATTCAGTTTATCATGCAGTATAGCAGTAACGCGTGGTCGATTTTTTTAGTTTACCTCTTGAGGGAGTTGCTCATAGATGGCAATTACGACCATATCAATAGGCTTCTCACGACCGTAGTGGAAGTCAGTAAAGAGGGAAGGATTGAGGCCGATAAAATCAACGAGAGTAACAATGCCAATGCGAGTGGGGCAAATGGCACAAGCACGGGAAAAATGGATGCCACTCATGCGCACCGATCGGGTAGAATGAACAACAATGGTCAGAACCATGGCATGTACAGCAGCAATGCAGATGGAGAAAATTACGTAGACAGCTCAAGCAACCTATTCTTCTGCAACCCCTACATTAAGAACCGATGTGATAATAGCAATTATGTGCATAAGTTGGTGTCCATAGATTTGTGGGAAAAATTAATCGACGAATGTGTTGTCGTTTTAAATGACAAATTGTGCTTCCATTGTATAACCCTCTTGAAAGAAGTAGAGCTGGATTACTCCATTTTTATTTCCAAGTGTGCCCATGATTATTACAAGAAGTATAGAATTATGTTAGCCCTAGAGTTTCAAGCCAATCTGTCGCAGAGTATTCAAGAGAAAAGAGATTTCGAATATCTGCATGAAAATAAATCGTTACTTTTAAAGGTAAAAAGTGCAACTATGCCCATTTTGTCATTCACGTGTACCTTAACATTGGAAGAAAAGGAATGGATGAAATCGACACAAATGAGGGAAGACGATATTGTGTTACTAAAACCATGTGATTTGATGCTCACGGATGAAGATGCCTGGTCCAGTAGCCTCATCGGTACCATTACAAGTACAAAGAGTGACAACATCGTTTATAATATCAACGTGAGAATATTCTCTGCTGAAAACACCAGAAAGGCAAATGTGAAGTATAGCAAGTATAAGCTCTTTCTACTATTGAATATTGTAACACATGAAAGAATGCTGCAAGCCCTCAGGGCCATAACCTTTATAAGTTCCATTCCGACAACGAACCAATCGCCGTATGTGTTCACCCCAGAAATTCGCTTCCTCATACTGCACTCGTACAATAAATATTCAAAGCACATTGCACAGACCGGCAAATTGAACCACGAAATTGCAGAATATGAAAAGATCAAAATGGATTTCCACAACCATGAGTCGTCCAAAAATAATACGCAAGAGGATTTACTAAGCCAATACAGTGGGCAAGCAAAAAACCCCTATGCAGATTTACTCAATGATGCACTGAACAGACAAATTGGAAAAACACACACAGATGATATTGATCAATATTTAATCGAATCTATCAATTTGCCAACCAATCTGCCGTTAAACGATTCGCAAAAATTAGCATGCCTTAGTGCTCTCACCAGAAGACTAACCCTTGTGCAAGGACCCCCCGGAACAGGAAAAACCCACGTTGCTTGCGCCATTATTGACAGCTGGCATAGGCAAAATAGTAACAAAAAGATACTGGCCGTGGCAGACTCCAACGTGGCAGCTAATAACCTCGTGGAAGGACTCAAAAAGAGGAACATTCAAGCAGTCAGAGTGGGAGCAGGAAGTGACAGCGATTTCCATGAAGAAGCCATTATGGACTTCCACCGATATAAGGATCTCCTAAAGTTGAGAAAAAATAATTTACAAAAAGAAGCCAAAGTTATGAAAGCCCTATTATTCCTCGAAGCGGTCAGAAAGTACAACGTCGTCATAGCCACCTGTGTCGGTTCAGGACATGAAATATTTGATAATGAAAAATTCGAAAGAGTCATTATTGATGAATGTGCACAGTCGATTGAGCCTTCGAATCTTATTCCGCTGGGGCACAATTGCAACAATTTGGTTCTAATCGGAGATCATAAACAGTTACCACCAACTATCATTTCGTCGGACGCTACCAAATTAGGGTTAGATCGATCCCTGCTGGAACGATTTGTCATGGCCAAAATTGCTCCCGTTCATTTGCTAACCACGCAAAGACGTATGCATCTAAGTATTTGTACTTTCCCAAACATCCATTTTTACGATAACAAATTGAAGACTGAAAATGTCACCGAGGAAAATCGACCAATTATTAAGGGCTTCTTGTGGCCAAACCCGAAATGCAGATTAGCTTTCATAGATGTATCCCTCGGAAAGCCAGGAAGCAAATTCGAAAATGCTTATGGTACTTCCAAGTTTAATTTGTACGAAATTGAGCCCCTAGTATCTGTGCTAAAATCGATTGTGAATGAGGGCTGCGTATCTGTCGACGAAATAGGCATTTTAACAGCGTATGATGCGCAAAAAGTAAAATTGAAGAAAGCGGTACAAGATGCCTTCCCGTATGAAGCAGCATGTCGAATAGAAATTGACTCCATCGATGGGTTCCAAGGAAAGGAAAAAGATTTAATTCTATTTTCTGCTGTTAGATCAAATGCAAATAACGAATTAGGATTTTTAAAAGATGCCAGAAGATTGAATGTCATGTTAACAAGAGCTAAAAGAGGAGTAATCCTATTTGGAGATCAATTCACCCTGGCTAATGATCCAGAAAATTGGCTACCCTGGCTCAACTGGATTTCATCCAAGAGGGCAGTCGTGCACATAACCAAACTGAATGAGCACCTTGAAAATCCAGATTATTCCCTGATAGATAAACTGAACAAAATAAACAAGACTGTTAATTTGAAAAACGTGAACGTATCAGATAATTATTTCTTATACGGAAATGACACCGGATTTTCCAACGATTACAATGAGCCACAAAACTATAATCAGAACGAAGAAGCAAACTTCACCGTCGGTTTGAATGACGCCAAGGAGGAAGTAGAGCCAGTCGAAGAAATTGTTGAAAACTGGGAAGATTTACTCTGAAAAATGATCACATGGGTGAAGAAATAATTCAGTCGTTTTGCTTTTTTATGCTTTTTTGCACATATTAAGATTCATGTGTAAATTGGTTCAAAGGGCAAAGTTGTTGCACAGCTTTTACATATCGAGTCACGCGGAAGAGGGAAGAAATGTCCTTTTTTGTGGTTGTCCCGTTGGCCATTCTATTAGCCCTATCCTGGTGGCCAGCTGTCTGCTCTCCGCAAAAACGCGCACAAATTTGAACATACCAAGTGCCATTGTGCAAAAGGGTTCAAGTGAAAAAGCTGCAGGATTAATTCGTCATATTTGTTTTCTTGTTTCTTTCATTTTTTTTTTTTTTTTTTTTTTTACAAGTGCTAATGTGCGAGTGTGCGCGCCTGTGTTTTAGGGTCAGCGTTCTCGCGTTAATGATTGCACATCATACACCGTCCATGCTGCAATCTAAGGACGCCACTTTCATGGTGTACTGTTATGTTTTGTCTATGAAATTTAAAAAAAAAAAAAAAAAAAAAAAAACTTCTGTTTTTTACCATCTTATATTACCTTTACCATTTTGCCATTGTTTCATTTTTCTCCCACATTGTTACACTGTTTTTATATGTAGATATATAATTAAATTCACACACAAGGGTGAAGATTTAGCCCCAATTTAAGTTGCTGCATTGTGCTAGTACACGCGTGCAAGCATTAAATGTGTACCTGCGGTGCCTGCCCCCGTGCACAAATCGTATTTCAGTGCAATAGGATAGGAACATACGCAGACAAAGCAGTCGCACACGGATATAGATATATACAAGTAAACATATTGTTATGCATATACATATGCCTGTGTGCATACGTGCCTGCGTGGCATGGGTAGACAGGAATGCACAAGGGAAGGTGCACCTTACAAATGTACTACTGTCGCATGAGACGTGCAGGGCATAGCAATCTACATCTCTTCATTTTCCAAACGCCCACTAGTATTTTAATGTTTATATATAGATAAGTTTTTTTTCTCCTCTCCAATGTTGTATTGTTCATGTGCTATTCTTATAAACGCACTGTTGGCCGTTTCCCGTTCCCCGTTCCCCGTTCCCCGCATGTAGCGCGACAGATTGCATGTCGTGTGATATGCAGCTCAGCATACGGAGCAGAATGCACAGGTGTAAACCCAGCAGCTTGCCCAGTCGTATACTAAGCAGTGCACGGGGCAGTAAACCATCCAATTTTATATAGTAACTTGTTTTTCTTTTTTTTTCTTCACCCTCTATTTTTTACGACGAACAGTTAACTACCCCATTAAAATTACAAATTAAGTTTTTTTCCCTTTTATGTTGTACGCATAATGTAAGAATAAAAAAGACAAGAAAGTTTGGACACCTGGTGAACTCGGTGCTTAGGTTGGTACTCTGTCAAAAGGATGAGGGAAGCGCCGAACGAACGGCTAGCGCAAGCACGCACAAGTGTATACATGTAATTATGTACAAATTCAAGCCATGCAAAGTATGCACATTTGCGTTGCTGGGCGTGCATATCCTCATACATCGCGGTTGTACTGCGAAAATGCCGCACCCGCTGATAAAAAAAAAAAAGATAAAGAAAAACGCCACCGGGTGAAGCGAAATATAACACAGTAAATGATGATATGGGTAACGCAATATATAATTTCCCCTTTTGCGCACTCTTTTCCAAAATGTTAACCCTAAAGGCAAAATGGAAATTTTTTCCCGCCCGAAGGCAGGTATTCTATTTTCCCCCTTTGAATAATTCCCCCAAGTGTGTTGAAAAGAGATTTTTGTTTGTTTGTTTGTTTTTTTTTTTTTTTTGGCGTCACCTTTGCCATGTGCTGTTTTTTTTGGGCCTGGGTTTCTTCCTTCCACCTTCTCACGCATATTTTTTTTAACGTAACTTTCGAAGGGGCACTTTTAAAAGAGAGTGACGCTTTTACTCGCTCGACTACGTGAAAATAATTGTGTATCCCGCGAATCAATTGAACAATTGAATGATTGGTCAAATAAACAGCTCACCAACTTAAAAAAAAAAAAAAAGAAACAAAATTGTCCTAATTTGACAGAAAAAAAATAAGCAATCTGAGCGAGTATCTTCACCCCCACACGCAAAACAAGCGCATATTTTGTCTGAATGTCTATATGTACACACATTTATATGCACAAAAGAGGGCAGTTAATCCATGTGCTCCATTATGCCGCGTAATTTCCCCCATGTATAAAAGACTTTAAAATGGGTAAATATCGGGAGGATTAAACGATCCAAATTTCCTCTTGGTCACGCTCAGGGGGGGTGCCACCTGTGCACATATACATCAATGTCTGCATGTGTCACTCATACGAAAGTATGCTGACTTTACCTACTCGCCCCTACCACCACTCTGTTCCTCCCGTATAGAAGACTTAGCCAAAAGCGGAATCTACAGCAAACAGTTCTCCCTCAGCCAAAACAAGCACAGTAGCGTAGGACACCAAAGATAGATCATTGGAACATATCCACCTGCGAATATGTGTGCCAGTGGATTGACCATCAATGCCCCTTTTTCATATGCATCCACGCACACAGTCAACGCAATACTTCTTAAAATCCATTTTTACATCCACCCACCTCCGATTTATCCCCACTTACAGGAAAGGTTGCAGAGACTTGAAAAGAGACTAAGCGGGCTACACTTCAGCATCGAATTGCAGAAAAATGAAAAGATTGACGTAATTTAAAAAAAAAAAAAAAAAAAAAAAAAAAAACTAAATGTGCAATGCATGATGCGTAGTAAAATGTTATACGCGCACTCCTAACGATGCCATTTTCTCTTTGTCACACTTTTAAGAAACTAAACGAGAAGATCAATCTTCTGGAGGAGAAACTGGTAGAAATGAACGAAAACTCAAATAGGACCTTCGAAAAATTAAATGAAAAGGTAAGAGCATTCAGCATATTCCTAGACTAAACTCTACCACAAGAATATAAGGACCACTGTCCTCATATGCTAGTCAACCTGACATAGTCATTTTTTTGTTGTTTTTCCATTTCATTTTAGTATTTATATAAACAGATGCTCCCCTTTTTTCACTCACTCATTACATGTGCATGTGCACTTGCAGCTGAACGACATCAGAGCGGACGTCAATAATTACAAGACTGAATTGGAAGAGTTCAAAAATGATCACAGGAAAAAATTAGAAATCCTCCAAAAGAAGTAAGCAACTTCGTGGTAGTGCGGATGAATGTAGCAGTGCAAGACATAACCCCCTCCCCATACGCCTCTTCTAACATTAATATTTCTGCTGTTGAGTGCTTGCACTTGTTAACCCGTACCTCCATCATTGCTCCACATTTTCCCCAACAGGGCTGAAGAATTCATAGACAAAGAAAAAGAAGAATGGAACAAACTCAAAATAAAATTAATAAAGGACTTTCAAAATAAAACTAGCTTACTGAAGTAATACAGCACGTTCATGTTAACGCTCATGAGCATGCGCCAGTGGATAAATATGCGCATACATGTACATACCATTACATGCTTAAGAATATTCCACCCTCGTGTCCTCCCCCTTTAGGGAAGAAATGACCGAAGAGTACGGACTGTTGCAAGAAAAGGAAGAATCGCTCAGAAGATTTTACGATGTAAGGCCCTACCACCCTTGGAAGCACTCTCCTCACATACACATCATTCATATGTGCATGTAAATGAACCCACGAATACAATATACAGTAAACCACCCATGAATGCACCATCCCCTTTCACACACTAATTCACTCACCCACATAGAATGAAATTGCGAACCTCAAATCGGTTGTTCAAAATGAAATAAACGAGAGAATAAAAACTGAAAAAATTATCTTACGGGACGTTGATGATAAAGTGAACGAAATTATTAAAATAATTAAATATGAGAAAATCACCAGGTAAATGTTGAATGTTTTGCAGAAGTAGCAGAAGAGGGGGCATCAAAAAAAGAAACCGTAGTGGAGGACTCCTCTTTGCTTTCTTTCTAACGACTCATATGTAGTTGAAACGTGTACACATGGATACGAACACGGATGCACACTTTCTCATTTGCTCATTCATGCCAACTCCCCCTTTTTGCAGGGAAAACTACTCGGAAAATCTGGTGTCCCTCATCGAGCAGTACTTTTCGAGAATAAAAAAGGAAATTGATAATGTACGCAAATGCTAATAGGAGGATGACCAGGGGGGGGGAACACAACTGGACACGTATTTTCACTCTCCTATGTGAAAAAAACAATTGCACGGTCTACCGCCAACCGTCATTTATTCGTTTAATTTTTTGTTTTTTTTCAAAGGAACGGCTCGAACGGGAAGACACGGAAGAAACGCTGGTTCATTTGATGGAGGAAGCTCTCGATAGAATTGGAATTCCATTCGCATGAACAAGTAGAAGGATGTCGTCTCTCTCCCTACACCCTTTTCTTTAATAAACTTTTGTACCACTACTAATTCAACTCCTCTTTGTAATTTTTTTTTTTTTTTTTTTT